GGTTATTATTATTAGTATTTAAAAATGAAAAGAACCCGTTTCCTCGTATATTAACTATATTAATATTAGTCGATATTAATTAGGTTAAATATGAGAAGTTATGTTGGAGTATCTCCTACACACCTAACAAAAACCTACTTTACTCAGCTCAGGGGTCTGCAGCAGAAAACAGGAAATGCTTCAAAAACTTTCAGAAACTTGGAGAACTGTTGATCCAAACCACTTCTAAAACAAGGAAGTCAGGCTGCTTCGAAGAAAACTTTAAGAAATGAGAAGTCTGAAATGCAAAGATGGTCTTAAGTCTACCACAGGCCCACTTAAAGACAAACAATCTTTTACACAATAGAGTTACCAACAAGTTTTAGATTTTGGTCTGTGGGAGGAAACCAGAGTATCCAGAGAAAACCCATGCATGCACAGAGAGAACATGCAAACTCTACACAGAAAGGTACCGGGTCTGAGCTGGGAGGGAACAGCTCTACCAACTGAGCCGCCCACATTACAAAATCTAACACTTAGATTTTCTGACAACTTTTGCTGTTTTTAACCAAAAAGAGAAACATTTTCCTCACCAGACGGTCTGTCGTTCATCATGCGTTCATCCTCTGTAAAACAAACAAAAATGTCATGATTACCACAAAACATTTTTCCTCTCAGTATGTGAACAAATAAACTTTAATGTGTTAAGGAAAGACCAGGGGTGGGGGTTACAAACTTTCAATGCATTGTGACATGAACGTCAAAAAAGCCCAAAACTGATTTCATTATTTAACACTAACATTGTTTCCATCCAATTTTAATTTGAATTTTGAGCGAATTTTTAAAATTTCGCAAAAGGAAAAAATGAAGAAATGCGAATCAGACGTGTTTCCATCATCTGGCTTGAAGCAAATCAATTACGTCAGACACATGTGTAGTAAACAGGAAGTAAAAATCGCATCTCAGGAAAATGGAGAGAAGTCATCAGGAACGTGTTGCTACTGTTGGGAAAGTTGTAATTATTCTGTCATCAACTAGTACTGGTGATGTTACTGCTGTCTGGAGACGTAGAGAAAGAAATGCAATTCTCTTCACGTTATGGGAATAACTGAGAAGACACCAACAGCAGGAGGAGGGTCCTGCTGCAGTCGCTCTGGTACCAAGACTGGTACCGTTCAGACAGCAAGAACAGCTGATCAACATGTGAGGTAAATGTTCGCTGCGTCAGAACTGATTCGACAAATGTGTTTCCATCTCTCCTTTTGCGCATTAACTCTTTCGAAAAAAAAAAAAAACCAAACAAACAAAAAACCAAAAAAAAAATAATAATAATAATAATAAAAAACTAAACAAAATCCACCTCAAGTGAGAATATCGACTTTTTTGCTTATTAGAGGAAGTTTTTTCGAATCATGTCATTTCCATTCCCCTTTTCTGATGCAATACTTCAAAATGCACATTGAAAAAGCTTGATGGAAACATGGCTACTGACTTTCTGTTGAGGAATGCAGCTCTCAAAGGACTTAGGGTGTGTACAACCAACTGAGACACAGATCCTTTTACAGTGAAGGTCTGTAGTGTTTGGAATTATTTTGGCTCCTTTAAAGTTAAAAGTTATATATAAGTAGTTTCCATCTAAAAGAAAAAGAAACATTAGCTACTAGGGCTGGGCCATACCATATCATTCACGATAATAATGGTAAAAAAAAAAAAAACCTTGCCCAGGAAAATTAATTATATCACGATATGCTAATTTCATGGCCGACGTCATTTTGTTCATGTCGGAGAACCTGCTTGTTTTCTGTTGCGGTCTTGTTAAAGCTGCCCAGTCTGATATAGGTTTAAACAGACGCTGCTTTAAACAAATCAAACGAACCCCACAGCTTTATCCAATCAGAGCAGAGCAGGGCGGGTCTTTCTAATGTCGGTGAAGCTGCAGGATGAACACCGGTCAGCCTGCAGCTCCTGTCCTGAGTGAGCAAACCCCGTCCTCCACACTTCACTCTAGAGCTACCAGAGACATTGGTATCTAGTCTAACACACTACAAGTTTATGTGTTCAGAGCTTCATTATCGAACAGATGTGTCCAACTTTGCTCACGTGACCAAACTCCACTCCTCTACAATGCTGTTACGGGAGCGTGCCGAGGTGCACACAGGCTGAGTTCTGTGAGAGACACTGTTTCATTTCTTCCAAAATATTAACTCTGATGAACACTTTGCCCCAGAATAGAAAAGATGAGTCGTCGCTTAGCGTTAGCACCCACCCCGCAAAAAAACACAACAACAACAAAAAACTATGTTCTCATCATAAACATCTACAAATTTCATTCTTCACAATATATCTTGCTTTTATTTAGAACCATAGTGTGACTGGACTGCTCTGTGATTCAATAAATGATCAAATATGAAGAACAAATAGTATTAAATGATTACATGAGCCCTCTAAATAATATAATTTTGAAAGAAATTGTTATTTTAATAGAGAAACCAGTCAGTCTAACATGAAAATGTAGTCAAGTTATTTTGTGCAGTACAAAATACATATTTGGTATATATATTTTTAAATATAAAAGTATAGTACATACATAATGTGTTTGCACTGATAAGTTATGAAGATGGTTACATATTTGTACCACTACATCTGACTCAAGTCTTGACAAAAATGTTTTTTATTAAATATATTAAAAACACTAAAATGACAAATATAAACTACAGAAAAGCTGTTCAAAATCAAACGCTTCCTTACAAATCCCTTTGGTCCAAATGGTTCAGGTTAAAATTTTTATATAATGCTTCATTAGAGAACACTAAACTGTGTACTTTTACTAAGAACATGGACACAGTGTATAGTGTTATGACCATTCTATACCATACACTTGTGTGTGGTGGTGGGTGGTAAGAGTTATCGTGCATTCATCGTTAGAGGTAAACTGGTCATTATATTGTGATATTGATTTTAGGCACTATTAACTACTTGTTGCTAGGACTGGGCAGTACGGATTTTTTCCATACTGATATACTGACTGTCTTTACATAATACCGTGGTAAACAGTATCACTGGGGCAGAGAGATGAGGGGCAGGGTGTGGGGGTTGTGGTTTGTTATGTGTTGGGTAAATAACAGAGAAATGACTGCTTGTGAGAATTTATAACTTGACATTCGTAAGAGAGAGCAGTGAAGTTGTTAATGGACCAATGTGACTTTTTGGAGCATTAACATGACCCACATGATGATCTGTAAAGTAAAACCCACTGCTTTTTTATGGCTTTACAGAATGTCTCAAGGCTCTTTCAGATAAACGACCCATTATGTTACTGATGCATGATCTGACCAACTTGGTCCATTCAGAAGCTAACACCTGAAAAGGTGGGCCGATGTAGTGCTGACTGACCGTTTCTGGAACCACCCAGTTGTGTGTTTCTTAAAGGGGACCTATTATGCAAAATTCACTTTTTTTTTTTACATTTCTATGCTTCAATTTGGGTCTGTACTGCTCCCAGAAACAGTCCAAACACCAAAATAAATACTCTCAGTTGTTTGTTGACATTGTATAAATGGGCTTTTAGTGTCAGAAAACAAGCAGTTTCCTGAACCATGTGATACAGTGGGGAAAGTAAGTATTTAGTCAGTCACCAATTGTGCAAGTTCTCCCACTTAAAAAGA